GGGGGGGTGTGTATACACAGTTAATTTCATATATATATATATATATGAATGAATTAAATTAGCTGTTCAACATTGTTTTGGACTTTTTCTACATATAATATATATATGTAAAAAGAATATTGAACAGTTAACTTCACTTTTCCTCACTGTAATAACAAGAAAGGCCAGTAGCACTGTTCCTTAAGGTTACCTGACAATACCTATCAGAAGCAATTGTCAATGTTTTATGATTTTGTAAAATTTAAGCTAGGCATATATTTTGAAGAAATGTCAATTAAAATAGTACAGACACCTGTGAAAAGAATAATAGGAAAATACTGGTTTTCTTGTGATAAATAAACTGTTGACCATTTCTTGACAAAACCTGAGGCTTGAGACCAGTGACTTGACGTTTCTTAGTACCATGGGCTTGGTGAGCAAGATTCCTTTTGGTAGTTCCTGTGAAAATCTGCTGGTGTTTAGTACTTAATATCCCCAGAGGTTCTGTCTGTGTTGGGGCACCTGCCTGAGTTGTAGCATACATATCTTCTAAGTATACTCAGTCTGGACTATCTCTTCTGTCCTCTTGATTATCTCTTCTTTGCTGGTTCCCAAGAAAGTGACATGATGAGTAGATTGGAAAGGAAAGAGGAAGCAGAAGGAGAGATGAGAGGGAAACTGAAAGCTGGAGTATCTGGGAGTGGTTGGCCCAGGGGATTTGGAAGATGTTGGCTGTAGTTCTTGTCTCCAGACATCATACATTTCTTCTGGAAACATACTTTTTTAGGGTTAAGACCATTTCTAGAATGGGGAGCTCTGGGTTTTGGTCACAGGTTGTCTGTGGTGCATTTCTTTTAGAAGTTCAGAAAAAAGCAGCAACCCAGAAGGACAGATCTTTATGCAGCCAGCTGGTACATTGCAGTAATATAGAATAACCTTTTCACCAAAGCCAAAACTCATTAATCAGTAGTTTAGTATCCCTAAATTAAGGAACAAGAATTGTATGTATGTCCACGATGACAGAATGGTTTGGTTCTCTGTCCAGAATCAGTCCCAGGTTTCACCTAATTACTCAGAAGATAATCTTAGCACAATCTCTGGACACCTCACTTTTTTTTTAATCAACTCCAGCATGATGTTTTCACCTGCTCTACCTGACATGGCTAGTAGTCATTAACAATTAGCAACTGGTCACTTGTCTTCCATTGTCTGTGAGGTAACTCTTTATCTGTTGACAAGTCTGATTCTTCACGCATGCAAGTCCAGGCTTGCCTGCAGCACTGACACCCCTCTCATTACTGCCCTGTCCTGGGGGGAGGAATAGTGAATTCTAATAAGGTAAAAGGGGAAGACAACATCAACTGTATTTCTGACAAGAAATAAGGTAGAAGGTGTTCTGTAAAGCAGGTTGGATGTCATGAAGAAGTATTTTAGGAGGATCCAGTATTCAAGGGAAAGAAATGCAACTGCTGGAAAAGGATTTGGTGGTGGAGGGATTCTGGCTTTAAACCAAGGGCTTGAGGGTGCGTAGGGGCTAAGAGGGACTGCAGGTCACGGCTGTGGTTAAAGAGCCTGGGGGCAGGAGCTGAGGGAAGAAGGCTGATCTGAGAAGAGGGAATTGAGATGGCTAGGCAAGAGCCTAGGACTGATGGGAAGATACTGAGAGAGAGTTAGAAGGGTGACGATTTGCTGTACAAGGAAACAGGAACTGAACAAGCAGACTGAGGCTGAACAGGTGAGCAGGATGAAGGACTAGCTTTTGTATAAACAGTGTTAATTCTGGCTTTCTGTAACTTTCAAGTTCTTAGCCCAGTAACTATGAGAATCTTCCTTCTTTGATACTAGCTCTGTGTGTGTTGGTATGTGACATTACAGGCTTGCGTGTATATAGGCATGCTTACTGAACTCCTCTTTCCTGCCTCTTTATGGAATAGACTTGCATGAGAAGTGGATTTTTCCTCATGATTTGTCATGCTAACTTCTGCTACTTGTTCTCCTACGTAAACCTGAAGCAACAGTCCTGTATGTAATGTTGCAGTCTGAATTTCTGTAACAACAAGCTAATGTCTCAAGAAGATGATTATGACTCCAGCTGGAATAAACAACTGGGCAAACTCTCAATAACAGAAGTAACTTTTTTCATGCAAAGAGGGAGAAGTGGATAACGATGTAGCACCAAATTATGAACAGAATGGTGTACTTTCAAAGTTTTACAGAAAACTTAGTGTATGTTGTTTTCATGTATTTCTTTTGAAGGCAGCCCCTTAATGAGAAGCACAGTTTTAAAGAAATTCCAAGGGCTTTTGCTTCAACATGTGTAACTGATTCACTTTAAAACCTACTGGGAACACTTGTTATATCTGAAAAAAGAATTTGGCTTTCAGCTACAGAGGGATTTGAAACATAAACAAAAAGATTTGTTAACTATTCTGTACACTGTTTTTACATAGGTAAGGGGCACAAACTGTCCCCTTGTGTACAAAGGGCTGCCATATTTATTTGAGCAGATCACTTAGATTTACTAATCATTGCAGCGCTTCTGTGCATTATATGTTTGATCTTGGTGGACTAAAACCCTGTGTACCTCTATTTGTTGTTTTACACTATTGTGTCATGTTATCAAATAATTTTAAAGCAGAAGAAAATTTGCATGAAGTGAAATACACCTTTTTCTCTGCCTAAGCTGCTAGGGAACAGCAGATACTGGAGAAAGAGAGAAGAGCAAAACTTCAATATGAAAAACAAATGGAGGAGCGATGGAGAAGACTGGAGGAACAGAGGCAGAGAGAGGAGCAGAAGAGAGCAGCTGTCGAAGAAAAACGGAGGCAAAAGCTTAAAGAGGAGGAGGTGAGGTCCATGGGGAGATGTGCGGCAGAGCAACTCTGGTAGCATTAAACATAGATGAATATTGACATGCATTAAATGTTGATCTTTGTCGTTTGCTTGGTTTGGGTTTTGGTTTTTTGTTTTTGTCCACCCCCCCCTACTGCCTCCGCCCCCAAGACATGTGGGCATTACTTCAGGAACTGCAAACGCATATCTCCACAGCTTTAAGTACTCTGCTACTGCTTGTATATCAAAAACACTTTCCAAAGCTTTTTTTGTCTCTTGATTTTTGTCTGATCTCACCAAGTAGTCATCTAGTTATGCTAACATATCTGGGACTCTGACTGCCAGACGATAAAGCACCAGCTTTCCAGAAGGTAGTTTTTAAAGATGAGTGTTTCCATGAAAGGGAAGGTTTTTTTCTTACTGTTTTGTTTACTGTCCATGAAATTGTAATAATATTTATGAAAATATGTTGTTTTGTTTTTCCTCAGTGACATAAAATCAGAAAATCTGACTTAAAACAGTGAAGAGTCTAGGCTGGTTTAAAATTCTAGCACAGAACAGAATTAATCATATATCTTTTGAAGCATCTTCATACCCTTCCTCTCTTCTACTCTCCCTGCTGAGATCATTTAAGGTTCTTTTTTGCTCTAGTGAGTCCAATTTCTGATGCAGATCTCTGAATGCAGTGTATATGTCTCTGCATGACATTCTGTAGAAAACACTAGCACTGCTACTGCAACTGATAAAGAATTAATGATTTTGGAAAAGGGGGCAGTGGTTTTTTTTTTAAAAAAAAAAAAGCCAAAAGAAGATATGTCCCTGGTTCCTAGGTAAAAAGGCGATAGAAATCCACAGTTATTAACCTTCCTTTTTTCCCTGTCCCCATCTTTTGATCAAAATATCTTTGCAAAAGAGGTAAAACACTTCTGCATGGGGTCAGAATAACATACGGCTGTCCATTGACTTTTTTTTTTGTTGTTTGATCTTTCACTTCAACCTGAAGAGAAGATTATATCCTGCCATTTCTCTTTCAGCTGTAATATACTGATTGTGGCTTCTGCATGATAGCTGAGAATTCATTTTAAAATAATTTGTCATGTGGTTTGTTTCAAATTTTGGTACGAAAAATGGCAAAAAAACAGAAACAAGGGTAGAAGGTCTCTTTCCTTCTGTGGTAGCATCATTGACCTGACATGCTCCTTCCCCAGTATTTCCTGCTATAATAACCTTTTGCAGCTAGCAAAGTTGATCCCCTTTAACAGGGGTTGTAAGGGAAAGTGGCAAGTACAAAAAGTTTGCAAACCCTGTCCTCAAAATTTTCACTGGAGTGGGGCAGAGAGGGGGAGAGTGTAGGAAGAGTGAGCAACTGCCTGCTTTCCCTGCCTGTGTGGTTTGCCTGTGCTGGAGAAATGAGAGCAGGGTTGTTGGACATGAGAGGCTGTGCCAGGTCAGACCCAGAGGATCTGTTCAGTGAGGACCCCATCTCCTGTAGTGGCCTTCTGCACTTGCCCAGAGATGGATGTAAGAGGCTGAGCACACAGTGATGTTTCTCCCAAGCATCAGAAAGCCTGTTACAGCTCCCCAACACCCCGTACGTGTGATGGGAGACTTCTCTAATGGTGAGAGAAAGGCTGCCTCCAAGTGTTTGGTCATAACATGAATACCACTCCTAACTCTGCTCACTGAGCTGATCCTTCAAGCTTAAACTGTCCAAAGCCTTTTGGGAGCCAAGGCAGACCCAGGCCTGGCTCCTTTCCCTTTCCTTTCCTCCCTCCCCCTTCCCCCAGGTTGAGGAACCTGAGAGAAGGCTTTGTGGGCAGGAGGACAGGAGAGGATGTTTGTTTATGTGGGCAGGAGGACAGGAGAGGATGTGTGTTTGTTTATGTGGGCAGGAGGACAGGAGAGGATGCGTGTTTGTTTATGTGGGCAGGAGAGGATGCTTGTTTGTTTGGGGATGGCTTAGACCTGATGGGAGGAAAAATCCAGGAGCCTCTGAAGGAGGGGAGGGTACGTAGGGGAATAATCTGTAGAACAGGGGAGGATGAGGGAAGAAGGAAACTGGGAAAAGGAGACACAACCACCTCCTGGCTTCCCTTCATGGTTACTTGTCACTCCCTCATTTCTCAAATTCCACTTGAATTCTACTAAAGCATCTGCCAAGTTTCCCCCCACCACCCAGCACTTCTGATGAGGCCCTCAAACCCTGTATGCGTAGTAGCAGTGGAGGTCTGAGTAAGGATGGTGATGAAGTTGCAGCTCCCTGGGCATTGCAAGTTACTCACTGCTCGTGAGTCATTCTGGATATTTGAGGCCACCTTTACTGGAAGAGCTTTGAACCTGTATTTCCCACACCTGGGGGGGCAGTTGTGCCCTGGCCAGTGAGCCAGTTTACTGCAGCATGTCCTCAGTGTTTCTCCTTTTAACATTGGTTTACACTGGGTGGGGACTGGAGCACCCATTTTACCTGCTCATCAGGTGTCTGAAGTGTCAAGCAGAGAGATTGTCATCCTTGCTCTCTGTCTTACTGGTTGTCCTTTATATCTTCCTTAAGTCTTCTTTCCTTGCTTTTTAACATAGCAGAAAGCAGTGCATATTTGTGATAGGAACAGGTTATATAAATCTCTCTCGAGAAAATATTGTTGTTGCATCTGTAAGAGTTTGAGAGATGAATGGGTCTTAACAACTGTGGGGACTTGTTGGCTTCGTACATCAGAGCATCTTCTGCTTGGCTGTTTTGCACGCAAAGGACTTTTCAAAGAGGACGTGGCTAAAGTTCGATTTATTTTGCTTACTTGTTTCCCTCTGCAGTGCCGGATAAGAGATGGTGGTTTTAAAGTCTGTGTTGATGGGAACAGAGGTGTTCCAGCAGGTTCTCCTCTGGGGCAGCTGAAGCTTGTTGCAGAGCACAGTGGAAGTGTGTCCAGTTCCTCAGACAGGAACCAAATAAATGTGTCTGAAAATTGTCCTGTCTACATTGACTGCACCTTTCTTATCTGTAGGGGTCTTCAGTAGCACTGCCCTTCCCTCCATATTACTTTTAAAGCTGCCCACTTCCTTTAATAAAAGTAGTCCCTGAGCCTTGAGGAAAGAAGCGTGGTGGTGTTCAACACAAGCTATTAAAGAATTGTTTTTAACAGTAAGTTGCCAGTGGCTTTGGGACTGGATAAAAGCAAAGCTAGTCCTCGTTCAGTTAAAATAATTTTTTTCCCTTTCCCTATCTTGAACTTCCATGTGACTTGGAAATACCTTGCAAATAAGTGTCTAGCTGTACACAGGAAAGTCTCCGTAGAAGCTATGTTCTACTGCTCTTGTATTCCACGAGACAATATCAACATCACTTGTATGGGCGATGTCAAGGATGCTAGTGTGAATAGGAGCAATAACATCCATCTAGTCAAAGATCCATTTTTCATAAATCCATCAGATTTTGTTAAAAAGGAAATTGATAAAATTCGTACCGATCCTACCAATATACTAATGTTTAAATGAACCACTGCTGGTAGACAGCATCAAACCTAATCCAGCACTCAGACTTGAAAGACTGATGTAACAGCTGCTAAATGGAAAAGAATGTCCTGCAGCATTGGAGAGATTGTTTTGGTACACATGCACTATTTGTTACATTTGTAAAAAGTATGCACTTAAACACAAGAGAGTGGAAAAACTCTCAAGACGTTATAGCGTTAATGACTTACTATGTTAGAATTCAAAGTTAATTACTTTTTGAATTATAATATATGGAAATAATAACCGCTTTCCAAACATCTTTTGGCAATTCATATACTGAGTGGAAATCAGTTGCACAAGTAATACAAAAATTTTGCTGCAAACTGTTTGAGATTGCTATGCAAGCAGTCTCTCAATTTGCTGTGCAGTGGACATGAGGAGAAGACTTTAGTCCTCATTACGACACTGACTGTCCTCTGCTCCCCCCTTGCCATTACTTGCTGCTGCAGCTCCCCACGTACCTTAATGCAGAGCCTTCATTTGTCCCGTGTTGTTTGTTCTTTGATGCACGCACCCTTAATAAATTTTCCCTTTCTACACACCTGTAATTGTAATTGATTGAGAGTAGAACTTAATTCCGTTCAGAAGGGTAGTTAAATTTAAAAATACTGTATTGCTTTTTAATGCACTCTTTAAATAGAAAATAACAGAGCTCTTTTGTTGCTATGTGGAAGAGACACTCAAAGGATGAAGCCAGCTAATAATGTCAGGAAACAGTGAGCTACTTGCATACAGTGCTGATGAATATATGAAGTGAAGAGGAAGAGGTTTTTGGAGCTGTTTTAGATGTTTGTGTTGTAGGTATAAGGCAGATTGTTTTAGAATTGTTTGCACAAATCATTTTAAGTCCTACTACTTGTAAAATGAATATTTTCCTTGTTTTCACATGTCATGTTTTACATAGAGAAAAGGCAAGTGTTTCAGTCAAATTACTAGTATTCTTACTATTGGTTTTGGGGTTGGTTTGGTTTTGGTTTTGTGGTTTGTTGGGTTTTTTTGTTTGTTTTTTTTAAATTCAGACAGTGCAAATTCTTGTTCTGTTGCTTAGTCTGAGGGAAACCTGGATGAATAACTATGGATTTTGGAAAGTAACATGTATATTTTAGATACTAGCAGTAGATGGCTCTCTTTTTATGGTTTTACTCACTCTTAATTTAACATATGTGCAAAGCTTGTACATTATAGTTTTTTGTGGAATCTCACTATATCTGAGATTATTATATGTTATTATATGCAGAGATTATTTCCTCTATCTATAGCTGTTGGAGTTCCCAAATGAGGTTCATGTGGATTGTTCAATATGTTTTTAAGAAGGTACTTCATCTATAACATAGAAAGGAAGGGTTTTGTGCATTGTTTGCTGATGAAGGAATGCTTTGTCTTGTTTTGTTTTCGTCACAGGCCAAATTATTAATGTACAAGTTGTTTATGCTATGCTTCCTTGTGTCTTATTGTTTTCTTTGGCTTTTTAGTTTTCTGCTAACTTTAAAATGTTTTTTAAAGAACTATTCTTTCTTTGTGAAAAATGGCCTTCACATTGTTCTTTATCTAAGCTATATCTGCAGGGTTTCATGAGGTTTAATAATTATGTTCTATAGTGCTTTAATGAAAGGCTCTTTGCAAACGAAAATGAATGATCCTCTCCACGTCATGTAATTGAAGATTTCAACCTCAGATTGTAGGTAGCATGGGCTTTCAAATACGTATGAAAAACCATTCAATTCCTTTAATCTATTTCATCATGCATTTTATTCTTAAACCAGTGCTTTCATAGTAGGTGGTATAAGTGTATTCTGTGGTTTGCAAACTACAGAATATTGCTGGTCCTTGCTCCAAGCGGCATTAAAAAAAAAAAAAACCCAAACATAAATCACCTGTGTAATTGAAACTTGACTGCTTTCATCTTATCTCTTTTGATTAATGTATAACAATATTCATTAGATATGGAAAGAAAGAAAGATTCTGTATAAGTGCGTGCTTTAATGAGAAAGAAATGGGTCATTTTCCTTTGTAAAGAGTGTGGGTAGAAGGGTATATTGGGGCAAGATGCATAGTAGAAGAAAGTAATGAAAAGAAGCAGACTGCAGCGAAGAACTGGTGAGATGAAATAGGAGGTGAGGTCTGGAAAGAATAAGTACAGAAAAGAGACTCAAACAGAATTAAATTAATGTTGGGAGGTGTGAAGTTAAAGGCAAAAAGTGTGAACTTGAAATGCAAAGCCAGTACACATAGGTTTTAAACATGAAAATTGCATCATCAAGTAGTAAGAGACGAAAGACAGACTGTAGCAAACTAAATCAGAGGGGAGTGACTTTGGATTCCAGAGACTAGAAGATTGCTTTCTTTCACACCCGAAGTATGGGCAAGAAGTGATAGGGTTTTCAAAACTGTGGGGTGTTTCTGTGCTGTTGTGGAAGAGGCTGTGCTTGAGCTTTGTGATGCTTCTTGTGTTTGCTCTGTAGGAAAAAAAAGGAGGAGGAAAGAGGCAGAGTGCGCATTTGCATGCCTGCCTGGACGCTGATGGCACTGACTAGACAGAAGGGGGAAAAAAAGGGGGAGGGAGGGCGAGGAAGCAGCTGCCTGCTTTCAGTGCTCTTTGAATGATGTTACCTGATAGACTGTGAGCTAAAGACATAGAAGGGAGACAAAACTGAAGTGAGAGCTCAAAACACATGACCGAAAGATCGTCTTACTGGAGATGGCAGCAGAAATTGTAACAGCAGGGTGGGTCACCTGGCCGAAAGGTGGCAGGGACAGGAGAGCTGAGAATGATAGAAAGGGTATGCAGGAATTGCCTTTTTTCACTTTCTGTATAGAGGGTAGTATAATGGAATTCTTTATGGTACAAGTGATTTGTAATAAAATTAAGAGAAGAGAGCTTAAAGACAAAAGGTAGTAGCTTGCTATTGAAATTGATGGATAATTGGTAGTAGGGTTGGATAAGGTGGAAAAAAATTAGGTCAGAAATAAATTACTGGAAGTCATGGTAGTAGAAGAGATTCTTCAATGACGTGGAAGAGACAAAAGTGTATTGCAGATAACCAGAAGACAATGAGAGGGCATCTGGCCTTGTAGAAAGCTAGTGACAGTAGACAGAGCCCCAGGAAGGTAGCACAGAGTTTACAGGTACGTGCATGAAAGTTCCAGGCATGGTAGTTACTAGAGGTGCCTGATGTTAGGGTCTAATCTGCTGAAGGAGCTCTGTCAGAGCCAACAGGGTCAACATCAGTGCAGAGACTGAAGGAGACATGCTTGAACAAAGACTGAAATTTTGTGGTAAAATATCTCGGGGAAGGGGAATAGGAAACCTAGACCAAAGTCATGAATCAGTGAGAGAAAGTAATTTGGCCAAGAGGTGCAGGAGAGGTTTTCAGCGCAGTTGATCTGAGCTACCAAAAGATACTGGAGATAGAGCAGGGGATTGATAGAAATTGAAGGGGATATAATGCAATCACAGGAACATGCAGGATCGAGAGTTTGAAGCGGATAGAGGAGTTTTCTACTAGACCAGAAGGACATAACAAAGGTAGTAGTAGGACCAAAAATACTCATAGGATCAAAGAGTTAAAAACCATCAGGTCAGGATTTGGAGGCAACAAGAGTAGACTCATCTTTCACAGTAGGGGTTGGGCTGCTGAAATGTGAGGGTGAAGAGGTTGCCAGATGTGAATGAGGTGCTGGGAAGAGGAAGGTAAGAGGGTGGTAGGCAATGGAATGGTGGGTGGGGAAGAACTGGGTTTTGTCTGCTTGAAAGGAGGAAAAGAAAAGGTGCAGAGATCATTGCCACAGCAACAAACCACTGGGAAACTAGCAGAGGGAGGAGGTGGGAGCAAAACTGAGTGGAGGTCTTTGAGTGAGAGTTAGGAGGGTGGTGAGGAGGGAATAAGGTGACTGTACGTAGTTGTAAGTTAAAGGTAGAGCAGGATTTGGGGAAGGCAAGAAATCTTCTTGTTCTTCCCTATTTGAAAATCCTAACTCATCAAGCCATGGAGAAGAATGTGGGGGTGGAGGGGGGAAAAAAAAAAAAAATCTCAGAACAGCATGATCTGGGCATGGACTGAAAAAATACACTGGGGGGGAGGGGGGTATCAGAAGCTCTTAATTGCCTAGACTGTAAAGAACATAGTGGAAGAAAGAAGGGAGTTTTCATAAAAATAAATAAATAAATTTAGCATCCTGCAAAGTAACCTACTTTGGGTTTGAAGTGATCATTTATCTGCGTGGCTAGGAGGAGCCACTGGCATTGCAGCAATTTAGCTGTGCTTGGAAAGGGATGGGGAAAAAATCCTGAGGTCTGCATAGACAAGAAGGAGTTAATGCTTGTCGAGCATTATTCTTATACAAATTAAGTCCAGGGCACAGCAGCAGCCTCACCAGCAGGAGCAGATGCTAGGCAGTGATGCAACCTGTGTTATTTACTTAGGCCTCTGTAGTGACCTCAGTGGCTTGCAGACAAAGGATACACTATCTGGAGGTAAGTAGCATGCTGATACCTTCTTTATTCAGTCCTTTTTCTTTTATTGCAAACAAGCTCCTGTGATCATCTTGCGTGGAGCAACAGGGGAACTGTGCATTTTTAGTATGGTTTCAGAAGGAGGAAAAAAAAAAAGCCCCCAAAGAACTGATTCAGATTTGGTTTCTGTTTTTGTACCAATATAACCAGGAACGTTTAGAAGCCATGATGCGTCGGTCCCTTGAACGAAGCCAGCAGCTGGAACAGAAGCAGAAGCGATGGTCGTGGGGAGGAGCACTGGCTGCAGGCTCAGGAGGGAGAGATGGTAAGTGAAACAGGCTGCCTGCATTGCAGATCTTGAAGTGCAAAATGCATGAGGTTGTGGAGATAGTAAGGATGATGCATTTTATAGTTAGAGTGGTACTGGAGGGGCTACTGCCTTGGGGTGTGAATAAATGCTTTGTAATTGCTTGCCAGGCTTCCTCTCTCTAATACCTTCGGGGGAGAAAGGTCACTCCTAACTTTAGGAATGCAGATCATTTTAATAGAGTAACCAGAATCTGTTTGGAGGATGCTAAATGCTAAAATTAAAATCTATGCGCTCTCTCCCCCTTATTCTCTTCCCCCGCATTGTCTTACCACACACACAGTTAGCAAATTTAATATTCACCAAAGGATTGAGTGCTGTCTAAGCTTTGGAAAAGATGATCTGTTTTTGTTTGGTACTTCTAAAAACCTGATGGGAATTTCTAGATGACTATGCAGCATGTGCAGTTTAAAATAGTTTGGTGGTTTTTTTTCCCACATACTTTTTGTTGCTGCTCTTTTTGATTTGGCTTTGGAACAAATTATTTTTATTACATAATCAGTCATGTACTGCTTTTATATCTCAAAAATATGCATGTTTTCTGTTTTGAATCATATAATTTATTTAAATTTGCCAGGTTTGAATAAACTGTTGTTATGGGGAAAAATATCCATCTTTGGATCTTTGATGATGGAATATGACAGTTACTCTCTTTTAAAAAGCATGTAAATATCTTTAACTCTAAAAAGGCAAACTCTGTTTCACAGCATCGTTTTCACAGTATGCCATCAAAAATGCCAGGAAATTAAATATATATGGTAATAAAAGAAGTCTTTTATACTCTGAGAAAGAAACCAGTTTGTCTTTGTGATGCAGTTTATGCTTAATTCTACCTCCCCCAACTTATTCAGTAATTTCTTTCACCTCTTTTTGCTCTGATTTCTCTGCTGTGTAGGTGAATCAGAAAATACCCCACCCCCTGTTCTAGGTTTAGCTGCCAACACCCTTCCTCCAGACCCTGTGACCTCTACTGCTCCTGCTGATTCCTTCAATGGTATTTCAGAGAATCACAGTACCATCGTGTCTCGTTTATAACTGTTCTAATCACTGTAATCCATCCACTGATCTTGTCCTTCCTAACCACTGTTTTCTTATTATTTCAGTCTGGTACTCTACGGCATTACCCTTAGCGATGTGGACCAAATGTCTTTTTAATTTCCTTTTAATTTTGCCATGGTGGAGCAGTGCATGCCTCGCATTCCAGCACAGTAGAGGCATTGCATGGTTTTCTCACTAACTGTAGACTTCTACCGCTCAGATTCTCATCTCTGTTAATTCTGTGGGTACTCTGTGTTTGTGTGCGTGTAAATATAATTACGCATGTATTTGACAGTTCTAATGGACATGCACAGGTGCAGGTGGCATTTAAAAAAAATTAAATTCAGTTGCACAGCAAGAGAAAATGTGTTATGGAGATGGTGTTTCATCAAAACAGTCCTCTTTTTCCATCTCGAGAGCCTTTTTCTGCAATATTTTAAGAACAAGCACATTTGGTATAAACAGCCATACTATGTTTTCAGCCTCCTGAAGTGGATTTTGACCAAGCTGGTATTTGTAACAAAGTAGCTGACTTTGTTTAGGCAGTTGTGTTTTGTTTTCTTTATATTGTTCAGTCATTCCCCCACCCCCACCCCCCCCCAAATTATTGTTCCTATAAAAGGACTGTGAAGTAGATGAGTCCTCCAAAATTAGAATGGATTGCATATAGGATTTCTAACTTTGATTGCAAATGTACTTGGCATTTTTGCAAACATAACACACCCTATGCTTTTAAGAACTAGGTTCCTTCTCTCCCCCCAAAGGAGGAGCTAGGCTTGGATATTACTCCTGCAGAATGCACAGTAAATGTTGTTCTGCCCATGATCTCACAGGACTATGATTTCTGTGCCAACAGATTCAATTTTTTTTACTAATTGTTGCTCATGTTGCTCAAAAAGAGATTTGGATGTGCACCTGATGTTTTGCAGCATACTGGCATTAAACCTGCTTCTTTAAAAGCAAACTTAGAGAATTGTATTGTTTACTGTAGTAGATAGAAGCAAATCTTGCAGACCCCACTGAGGCAATGTTTTGATGGATGCCATAGGGAATACAGTAACTTAGGAGCTGCAGAATTAGGGCCACATATGTCTAGCTGATTTTTTTTTTTTTTAAAGAAATTTCAAATTTAAGGGACAAAGCATCTTGGCTTTTAGCTTCTGAGCATCATGCAGTGATCATCATATCCTAGTACGTTGTAGTAATACTCAAATAACATTTTTCTGTCATTCGGTTGAATAAATGGCAAGGCAGGAAATAGGTATTGTGCTCAAACAGTCTTTGTCAAACAGTATTTCAGAAGAAAAATGGGATAGCATTTGGGATAGTACCAAAAAGTCTTTTTTTTTTTTTTTTTTTAAAATATTCTCAAGCACAAAAGATAAAGCCAAATGGCCAGTGCCAGATCAGTCATTAAAACAGTGAGTTCTCATTGTGAGAACGCGCAAATGTTGGTTATTTCATTTTCGTATTGGAATAATACCTGAGGTTTACCCCAGCTCTTCCAGACTGAAAGTAGAGGGGAGGGGGAATGGAGAAAAGGAGTTCAGAGTTGTCATGTGTGCAGTTCATTTTCTTCAGGTAAATTTCTGCTTGTGCTGGTATTGAATGTCTTGTATCAGAATGGCTTCACTTTTTCAGACCTGATACGTAATTATTTGCCTGTAGCAGTATAAAAGATAGGCTGTCGTAAAACTTGGAATCTTAAATTGACAAGCAGAAAAGTTGCATCCCAAAGCATGTCTTATAAAAAGCTGGTCCTCCAGCAGTCGGAAAGAGCTTATCTCATGCCTTATTCAGGGATACGATCAGTGGCAAGGGCCAGGAGTACAAATGCGAGGTTAATTTTGGGAGTTTATCACCACTGTGATGTGAATACAAATATCTTCAATGCGTCTCTCTGCAGCATGTGACAAACTTTCAGCTTCTACAATGAATCTGCCAAAGCAAATGGAATCGCCAATCAGTAAGCGCCTCTCCTCCTCCACAGCGGCAATAACACATTCCCCCGACAGAGGCAAGTGACTGTGCTGGTCTCCTACCAGCATAAACTCTCCTTCTGCCTAAAGCACTTCTTGTCCATATAGCTATGTAACTTGCTTATGTCTGTTATTCAAAAGAACTCGAACTCTGGCGGGGTTCAAAGTTAATACAATAAAATAGTTCTGCAGCCTGTCCCAAGCCTGTGCTGCCATGCTGGAGATCCTAGGCCAGCGACAAACACTGTGGGCTTTTTTACTGATTCCTTTTCCAATTTTTGATACTCCAGCAAATGGGGTTGTAAGTATATGCTGTGGCTGCAGCAATTTCCTATAACTGTACAGCTTGTGATATTCTAGCCAAATAAGGTGGCGGGGGGAGCAAACCAAACATGTGGCTTGACAGTAGACATGGGATGTACCGTGGGCAGAAGTACGTCCAATGAGCCACTTGGGAGATTTCAATCTGGTGACCAGAGTTGTAGAGCCCGTTAATTTGATTTGAAACCCTGATCCATCAGAGACTCAGCAAAGGATGATCATCGTGTGGGATTAGCGGTTACTAAACACTACAGAGAGGACTGAAGGGTTTACCCCACTGTGAACTCTTTGGAAGTTTGTTTGTTTTGTGTGTCTTTTTTCCCTTCCTCCCCTTTTTTTAAACTCTAATAAGAAAAAAAATAATTGAAATAAGTGACAATGAAGGCTTATTTCTAGAATGAAATGAGAAGGTACTAAAATGAATTTACTTTCATTTCTGAATTGCTTAATGAAAACTCATCAATAGCTTTGAGATTATTATGATAGATGGCTATATATATGCGTGTAATAGGAACATCTATAATTATCTTTCTTACATAGTTGATGCTTATATTTGTGGAGTAGGAAGGAACGCAGGCATATTGTATAAATGAGACTTATATAATGCAGTGAGACTGCAAATTTTAAATGCAGTCCTGGTATAGTTGGCACACTAGTGAGTAGCTGCGCTGTTACACCAAATGTTTCACCTTTTCTACTGGGGAAAAAGGCAAACCTTTTTCATGCTGAGTCATGAAAGCAACCATTTTGCAGAATGGAACATTGCCTCTGTGTAAGAACAAAATGCAACATGGTCTTAACCTTTACTATATTTATTGTACAGGTGGGAAAATAATTTTAAATGATGGAGAAACTAGAAGCCTTTTTTTTGGAGGGAATGAAAATTATCTTTAAATATTTTAAATCTCAAATGCTTCAAGATTTTTTTTTTCCATTTCATTTAATCATTTCATCATTTTGTTTCAGTTATTTTAATGTAACATTGTTTTACTTCTTTGCATTTTAAATTTGATTTTATTTGCTCCCATCCTTCAGCTCACCGCATGCATCTTAGTCCAATGGAAAACTTTATTGTTTCTCGACTGCTGACTCCCACACAGTCATCTTTAGCCAGAAGCAGAAGTACATTAATGCTTTCTGAGCAGTACAATAATCCAGGTAAAAATGTGAATTACTCACTTTGAAATGGTTAAGGTATGTTTTTGGTTGCATTTGAGTAGTTGCTGAAAGAAATTGAGTACTATGAACCAAATGACAATTTACATGATAGTACAAAATCAACGATGAACTAAGTTGTTCATGATAGCAGTGTATTTAAAAGCTTGAAAAATTACATCATCTTGTCTGTCTTGTTCTAAATGTCTTTTTAAAAAGAACATGGTTTTAAAAAACCACAAAAAATGAATTAACAAAATCATTAAAACCTAAGCCAATGGAAAAATGAATATATTCATTTAAGAAACAGTTTTTTGACCAGTGTGTGACACCTCTCAGAGGCTTTATTTCATATATTAGTCATCCCCTTTCATACCCAAATAGTACGCAGAACAAAAATCCATTTGAACCTTAATTATTTTTACTAGGGTTCCATTCTTTGCTGCTAAATTATTTTTTGTCTTTAACTGTGTGACTGTATGTGTATTTGTGTGTGTGTGTGTGTATAAACATATAAAATGACAATTACTTAGAGGAAGGAAAAACAGAGACACTGATAGGAAGGTGCCAGTTCCAGAAATTATTGATCTTTAAGAAACTAAAAATTAGGAATGACAGTTACTGTTGCTATCTGTAAATGGCAGTCTAATAAAAGCCTCATTTTGCAAACATCTATGAAACTAATGTTTCCAGTCCTGCTAATACTTAGGCAAGTGCCTGACTTCCAGAGTACTTCCTGCTTATAAAGCTATACCTAGTCATAGTGTTTGCTGAAACAAGGACAAAAGTTTAACACTTTTTTTTTACTTTTATTAAAAAGAAAAAAAACCTGAAACCCCACACCCAAATGCCTGTCTGCAAAAGGAAACATTTTTTTCAGGCTAAAACTGGTTAGACAGTATAAGACTGATCATATTTATGATCAGTATTTTCATATGGCATGATTGAAATAGGCTCAGGTCCTGTATCTGTGCTTTTAATAGAAAGCTATGTAGAAATTAATTACAAAGTAAACCTACTTTCCTTTGTGCATTACTTCTTTGTTGCAGTGCATAGGGACATTGGTATTGAATGACTCTGAAAACACTTCCCTTGTTTCTACATTAAAAGCAGCATCTGTGGGAAGCAGAAATGCTGTCATACAGTACTTGGCCCATGACAAAATTCCCAGTTTACTTACTGCTTGGGGTCAACTACTGCTAAGACTGAACAAAAGCCAACTTGAAACTGGATCAGTATATTCTGCTTAAAATTTTGAGGCGAATTGCTGGGGCCACCTACAGATGTTGTTTCCTATGTTGTATTTGATATTGAAGAAATCAATAGGGACTTTCTTTGTCCTTCCCCACTTGTTTTGTTTGTAAACTTCCAGCTTTATCTCTCTCTTCATCACAGGATCTTTAAAGTAGAACGCTGGCATGTCTGACAAGGTCTGCAGATTGCTTTTTCCACTCAGCTGAACCAGGAGTGCTGATTCTGGGAACAGCTCTCTGAACCAGCGTCCTCTTGTCATTTTCTTGTGAGGCAATCGGGCTGTAGCACAGGTTGCAAACAGCATCTGTACTCAGAGTGGCCATTGAGGGTTTTGCCAGTAATTGCCAGCAAAAGGATTGAGGGAGATCTCCCATTTGTGGTGTACTTCTCTCCGTAGAAGTCATTTCCTGAACAGGGAAGAGGGTTCTTCCTTTTCAAGAGCTCATACTGTGCCTCATGTCATTATGTTTGGGTCAAAATTGCTCTGCTCCTGCATTTTCTGTAAGCTTAGAAATGAGGAATCTCAATTTAAGACTTTCTCTAAGGCAATGCATTGTTAATGTCAATCTGAGTCAAGATATTCAGGCAAATGGTTGTTATTGAACAGATATAATTAAATTTTTTCTACAGTTGAAGTAAAAATACTTAAGCAGCATTTGAGTTTCTGAACATTTTTCTTACTATTCAGTGAACTTTTGCTAACTTGCTGGAAAGTCAGTCAAAGAATACACAGGACCTGTTAAACTTAAAAGCATACAAAAAGACTTCATAAGAAATTTTATAGCACTGCCCCAATTAAAAAAAAAAAAAAAGGAAATGTGAATTCCTTCACATTTGAGCATAATTACTGCTTTTCCAAAGTCAATATTCTTCTTGACTTCAGTTGAATAAGATTGAAAACAGTGTCACATGGTTACAATTAGTATCTGTCTTATTAATAAAGCATATACTCTGTTGATTGTTCTCTGTTTATATGAAAGTTTCATCTTAGAAGGCCATATGAACAAAAACAGGAGTAAAATATCCCATTTTAAAAAAGTCCTGTTCACATTGCAAATAAAGAAAAAATACCCAAAAGAGTTGCCCTGTAAGTTGTAATGCATGTGTTGCACTCCAACTGCTGTCTACAACAAATAACAATAACTGAAATACCTACAGCAGCATTTAGTCTAGGTTTGGGTTTGTTTGGTTTTTTTTTAAATTAAGTATTATTTTGAAAAGCAATTTAAGGTATTTAGGAGTCTTTGTCATGTTTAGGCTTTAAAAAAAAAAAAAAAAAATCCCTACTCTTCTGTCACCATTCCTGTTTTGCAGTATTTGTTCAAAAGTCACCCAACTAGAATTGTTTGATTACTCTTTTTATCATATGCAAAGGAAGCTGGACTTTTCAGAAGAGAAAAGAATCAGTCATAGTCAGGTGATTCAAAAGGTGTATGAGTAAGAGTGATACTTTAGAGATAATTGTAAAAAAAATTAAAAATCCTATAAAAGGTTACTTTCAGTTGAGGCATTCTTAGTAAACGTGGGACCATGTTGAATGTGTTACAGAATGTATCTTTTGAAACACTTAAAACCTTGAAAACTACCTTTGAACATTATAACATAAAAGTATGCTGTTTTCTCCTCTCCTTTACTTCCTCTGTCTGTGCTCCCTTTTGCTCTTGCTATTGTACTATAACTCTTTAGTATTCCATATCTGTCCTCGTGTAGCACCAGCTAGTCCTCTTAAATCTCCCTACAAGCCTTCCCCCACCCGAAGCACTGACAGAAAGAAGGCAACTTCACCCTCCACTTCCGATGCCATGAAAGGGGCAGCTGCAGCTGAAGTTACTCAGGTGGGTTTGCAATGGTTTTGATTTCACTTCTGGGTAAACTGATGGGGCTTCTTGTTGTTTTCTTTCCCTTTACATTCGTAAAATAAAGTGCTATCCCTGTTGTAAGAAACAGCAGTAAGAAAGTAAGCCTTGCATGCATCTGTTGCTTTCGTGCTCCTGTTTAGCAGCATTTTACTGTCTTCCTCCTCCTGGGAATCACTGTTGAGCACTGGTATTTGGAACAGCAACACCTTTATTTTCAGGGAACTGAGATTTCTGGCACTGGTGTATGTTTCTGGACTTGCCTTTAACTTCTGGGAAAGGGGATGACAAATAGGATCTCTCTACTGAGTATGACTGTCCAGTCTTGCTGGTTAATTAGCAAGCTTCACATACTTCCAAAACCTGCCAAGTGTATTGAGAATGCCTCTGTTTTATACTGATTGCTTAACTCTTTCTGTGGACACTTTTAATGCTGTTTGCTTAAAAGATGCATTATTCATCCACTGTAGTTTCCAGAAAAGCAAAGGCAAGTCACTCATCTTTGCTGACTCTACACAATGTAAGGCATGTTTTAAAAAATTGATGCTAGGTCTGTAAAATTCATGTAAGGTCCTGTGTCTTGTAGTAGTTAATAGTAGGGGTGTTCATGCCATCTAAATTAGATGCAAGTGAGAGGACCGAAGCTGGGAGCTAAAGATTTGTGTAGTGTCCGTCTTAGGTGTGATTCACAGCGTACATTGAGCAGCATTGCTGCGAGATGCCCAGGTGCACTACTGACCATGTCTTAAGAGGTGTTTGCAGGAGCATTTAGATCATTTTGAAAAATCTGGCCAGTGCAAGACATGGTTGGCTTTTTTCACGACTGTAAAATAAAAAACTATGCACCTCAGTTTTGAGCTGGTGTTTAAAAAACTTTTATCTTAAATGTGTTACACAAATCTGTTTATATGCCATCTTGTTAATAAAACTATCAAATATATTTTTGATGTGTTGGTCCTAATTATGGAAACTAAAATGAACTGTGTTTCTAGACTGAGAAGATAAAGAAAGAGAAGCGACCCACAACACCTGCTTCATCATCTGGTATGGGATCGCCTCTAAGAAGGTCTGATTCTCCTGCTGCCATGTCCCGAAGATCTGCGTCACCTGCAACACCTAAGTATGCCTTTCTTATTAGTGGTCTAATGTGCTGTGAGCTTCTTGTTACCTATAAAGGAGACACAGATTCTTGAGGAACTTCCTTTGAAGTGCTGTGTAAGATCTAGTTAATTTTCGTTATACGTACACACGTATACAGATGGAGAGAGATGTAGATGAACAGATATAGTATATGTAAAATTGTGTTAGTGGTCACTAGAGACATTTCTGTGCCTTTTCTCAGTCTTTTGAAATTATCACGGTGCATTTCATAATTCATGTGAAATTTAATTTAACGTTTATTTTTAAACGTGCTTTTGTTTTATTTGGTTTTGAAGAAACTGTGCCTAATGTGAAGAAATGCACAGAACATGAATACTAACTAGACATTCCAGCATTTAAAATATGCATTTCCTATTGCTGGTATGACCATCTGGTTCCATAAATATACTTAACTACGCGTCATCTAAACCATCGGTTTTAATCTTTGCTTATTTGCAGACCTCTGTGGGTTTGTTGCTTTTTGTTGTTGGGGTTTTTTTCATGCAGAGTTGTGGACCTATAGCATATCTGGGCTTACTAGCAATTGAGTTGCCTTTCTTAGTTGTCTTTTGCAGACACTCAAAACTGTAGTCTGTACCACAGCTTGCAACTCACAAGTCTAAGCAAATGTGTCTTCAGCTTTCTTAGAACAGGCTATTACTTCTGCATTTGAGCCAGACTTATGCTGAAGTGGTCATGGTCTACAGTAGTTGTCTGATTTTTTTGTTTTGTTTTGTTTTGGGTTTTTTTCCCCTAGACCCTGTTTGTGGGGTCCCCCTTCTGTCTTGAAAATCATCTCCTTTTGTCTGATGATTTGTTTTTTTAATCTGAACCTGGCCATATTCTGAGCCAGTCTTGATGATCCCCTTTCTGATAAATTTCTTCCGCTTCAAAAACTAGCTGGTGTTCCTTTTCTGTTTCAGCTCTGAGTGCATAGCCCTTTGACAGAGGGTGATTTTGTGTGTGAATCTGGTGTTAGACAAAATACAGGAAACCATCTGACTCAGGGCATTCTCTCTGTTTTAGACATCCCCTTGCATGCAACTGGCAAATTAGAATTCTTGGTTCATGTTATAGGGCTACAAATTCTCAAACTTTCAGTATTGTATATACAATGTTATCAGATTCTGAACTATGTAAATTTTGTGAAGAATGGAATGATATGAAATGTTAATGACAGTCAGCTTTTTTCATTACAGTTTTGAGCAGATCATTGTCTAGTGGCACTCCAAAATGTACAGAGGAAAGTTTGAGCTGTAAAAATTTACATTATTCTACAAGTACTGATATTCCCTGTTCAGAATGCATCTTTCAGTTCGCTCAGCCAGTATAAAAGACATACCAAGAGAAGTATTTAGTTAAGCAAAATGATTGGTGGGAAATGGGTTGCTGGGAGTGAAGCACTTGATGGGCAGACATTGGTATAGCTCATCATAGAGACATCTGGGGAAAAAAAGAAAAAAATTTTGTGAAACAAACAGATGCTTAGTGCTTCATGGAAAAAAGTATGCCCTGTCTTAATTTGTAGCACTAATTTCCATAAAAGGTTAGGCAAAGATGGAGACATTTTTCCCAGAGGTGCAAATTATGAGAACCTTTTTATAGTAAAATGTTTTCATGCCTATAAGGAATATAAACTACTGTTTTTAGAGGAAGAAGCAGATGTTGTAGGGAGGAATTAAGAAGCCTACTGGTGGGTTTCTCTGTGATTGCGAGCCACAGTAGTTATCCTTTTTTTTTTTTTTTTTTTCTCCTCCCTCTCTTCCTCAAGAGAGTCTGATTCTGACCACTGCTAGAAGTGTATTACTGAGCATTTAATCTTAACATGGCCCAATTAGAACACCCTCCTTGATCTTATGAGAGATACAGTAAATAGAGTTTAAATCCATGTTTATTACTGATTGCAGAAAGACAGTTCTGCTTCAGCACTCTCAAAACTTCCCCTCAGAAATTTAAAATAAAGTTTAAAAAGGCATCCTGATCACCATATTATATTATTATATAAAGATATGCATTTCTTCACACAACTCAAGTGTCAGATAACAATCTTGCTGGTCAGTGGATTTAAATATAGGCAGTCAGGCTTCTGGACTTCTGGAACCTTCCTTTAGATTGTATAATCTTACCTTTTCATTTAAAATTGACTGTGGAACTTAAGGGTAATTTTAACGTGACTAAATATGTAGACAAATAGTTATTCTCCTTCCAAACCTGACAATCTGTTACAAGTTTAATCTTTCTCCTTCCAGCACACCATATGGCCAAAAAAATACCCTGGAAGAAATAAGAATACATATTGTTCGGCATTAGTAGTTAGTGATCCTGCATAGCACCTTAATTTTGAAAGCTGTTGAGGAAAGAATCAAGTATGGCGAGTGATTTAGAATGAATTAGCTGTATGCATTTTTTCTTAAAACTTGACATTGAAGTTTTCTTGGTATTGTTCTAGTTAGCAGTTCTTCACAGTCATCACCTTGTTTTGTGAGTGGTAGTTGCTTGTCTTTTTTATATGTTATTTCATTATTTATTAATTAAAAAGCTCTTTTTATCATGGTAAAGTAACTGAAACAGGTTAAAACAAGACAATAAAACTTCAGCCTAGAAAGAGACAGTGATTGATGGCAGAATAGATTTCCAGTAATTACATAAACAAAATATAAATGTTCGAAGGTGCAAATGTTACTGAGAAAGCAAAAAAGATCAGCCCAAAACATAATGTCCAAGGCAAAATGAGTGAACAAAAAGGAGTAAAGGGGTGAAAAAAAGTATGTTGAGCAATAATTAAAAGCAAGGAAGGAATTCAAAGCTTGAAGATACTTGACAAAGTAAATATATTGAGATGTCACACAAGAAAGAAACCCCAAACTATTGCTTCGAATCCAATGTGGATCAGTTGACAAAGATGAAAGGTAATGGCTTAGAGAGCTGGGGTAATTGAGAAATTATCTTTTATTTTTACAATTGCTGTTGGATACTGACTGTGTAAAGTGCTCCTGTTCTTCAGATCTTTCACAAAATCAATAATACCCGTTTTCTTAGTAAATTTTTTTGATGCTTCGCCTTCAAAGATCTATACATTAATCCGTTTATTTTTGCAGTATCCCTCAGAATAGTTACGTGTCCTATCTTATAGATTGGCAAAGCAATAAAGCCTGTGTCCTTCACATGTCTTTGGGTAAATAGTCCCTTTGAAATCAATGGGACCTGACTGAACCAAGGAAGTAGGATTTAGTTTTAAGTGTCTGCAGATAAGCCATAGTATAAGCCAGTGAATAAAAATGGAAAGCTCTGACAAGCCTCTATGTTACATTATTTTGCCAAAGCATTACCTCTTATGGGAAGAAGAAAGGGGCAGTGGGAAAGGGAAGAGGGACTGCAGCGCTGCTGGTGGGTGGTGGTTCTCGGTTCATTTCCAGTTCCCAGTCTGTGTCACTGTCCTTCGCTCACAGGTTCAGTAATGGGACCCGTAACTTGGTGGTTCTTTTGGGTGACATCCCATTGCAGCCATTGGGACACACTTTGATGTCAGAAATGCACATGCTCAATCAAATTACAGAATACCGATGAAGTATGAACCTAGAGTAGTACAAAAAAGCCCAAACTTTTAAAAGTTCTAAAAATGACCTATTAGAAAGGTGTCTGCATGTGGTGAATTCCTCACAGAAGTAGCTTCTATGTCCTGCAATGACCTAGTTTTAGATTTTATTTGATATGTGCTACATTTACTACTTTTGATCTTTGTTTTGCCTTGGAAAGATAAAAACAATGGGTAGCATGTTGGATCAAGACTATTTTGATGTTTTTTATCAGCAGCTAGCTAGAGAATGGGCCAATTCAAGATTTTGAAAACATCTGTAATAATGCAGCTATCAAAATAACTATTCTATAGACCTATGCTGAGTTTGTGCTCTTTTAAGAAATGTGAAAGTGAAATGAATCTCTCTGACTAGAAAAGATAAAAACTAAGAGTGAAAGAAAACTGCTTTTGAGAAAATATGACAGATAGCAGAGCAAAAAAGTCAGAACCCAGGAACAGCTTGTGATCAGAGCAATCTCAGAAGGCACGCTTGAGAACCTGTAAGTCCTTGGTGTGGTTTCAGCAGAGCTTTTGCCAAATTAATAGGGAGATAGGGGAAAAAAATAATGCAGCTCTGGCATTGCTGCAGATTTCTGATTTGAAGTCAGCCTTCTGAACTGCTGTAACCGATGACCTGTCACATACCTGGCTTTTCAAGAAAGCACACTGTTCTCTCCCTTGCTGTTTATGGACAAAATTGGATGTGACCTCTGACTCATGTCCTACATGTACTTTATTTTCTATGCTTAGCAAAAGTAAGTTCAGAACCCCTCTTGTGCTATTCTTGAGACATTTTTCTGCAGTATGGGCTATCCCTCTTTTAATTAAATAAGAGCAAGTGTAATTTAAGGACCAGTGGATCCTCAGACCTGATAGAGGTTCTTGCAGTGCATGTACGGGTCATGATGAGAATGGCTGCTTACAAGCTGCTGCCCCCATGTCAACACAGGGTGGTTAGGTGAGAAAACTAAGACCTCCTGGAGGGAGGAAGATGCTTCCTGTACTTCTGTATTCCGCTGTAAAACCTAGTGACTGAGATGAGCGAACTTTCAGACAGCTAACATGCTACCACTTCTTGTATTGTGGGGAGTTGTCGTCTTAATTCTCTGATTCTCATCAGGTACACTTCTGTGTTCCCACATGCTTACCAGGGCTTCATTACATCCCTTTCCTTTTCTCCCAAGTCAAAAATAAATAATTTTTTAAACCTAAGCAGACTTCTATGCAAGTGTTTATACTTATTTCCCTTAATAATCCCATTTTTCTGTCTTCACATTTAAGTTTGGCCCTTTCTGGTAAAAAGTAGCATAATTTTAATACTATCGGAAGGAGTGGGTTTTTTCCAGTAACAATTCTGCCTGCGTCTAGGAATGTTAAAGATGCTAAGTTGACAATATGTTTTAAATACAAGGGGGAAAACAGTGTTCATTTAATACTTTCTACTGACATCCAGTAAATGATTTAAAATTTCTGAAAAAGTATTTATTCCTGATGGGCTTTCTCAGCTTTTCACTCCTTGCACTACACTGTTGTCACCCTTGCAGTAATCAGTCTTTTATATGCTTCTCCCTTTTAGTTGCTTTAAAACAAACAAAGCCATACTTGTTTGTTGTTCTTCTGGCCAAAGAGCTGTAAGACAAAATTTCTGTAGGTCTAAAATTTCAAAGGTGCATTGCTTAAATAATAGGTTCAGCACATGTTTCTAGTCCAACAGGTAAGTTGTGCGGCCAGTCTGCTCTAATTCTTCTGCAGTGCAAGATACATAGCTGTCATGACTAGACTCCTTCCTACCAACCTCTTTGATTGTCATGTCTTTATTAGAGAACAATTACTTCTGTGCTAATACTGAAAATGACTCAGCCTTAGTTATGTGACTGTTTTGCTCCTCCTGTCACAACAAGTTAAATAAAAAGCATCATAAGGAATTTATGGTAAAGTTGGAAATGTAAACCAAAGACAGCAAGAAGGGACTATGCTTTGAAGATGTCTGATTAGCAAGAAGCATCCTCTGTGCTGCAGAGAAACATAAAAAAGCTTGTTTGCTTTTTATTTACACATTATATTTTTGAGATGCAGTTGGAAATGACTGTTACGGCAAGGCACATATGAGATGTATGTATGTAGATGGGGCCTTGAAATTTCTGCCTTTGTCTTCAGCAGGTCCTGGGAATCCATCTATTCCTAAAGAGAAAACTAAGGACAATGCTAAAACACGACTTGGTCAACAATAACCAATCTCATTGGCCTCTCCTGTTGCTGGTTTTGTTTTGTTGTTGTTGTTGTTTTTTTTTTTTTACAAGAGTTGGAAACAGACTTGCCTGTCCACGTCTTCCAAAGCCGGATTCTGTCAGAGAGCAGCAGGAACAGGCTGCCCTGCAAGGCAGGGCGAGCCAGGAGCCATGGGTGGCGGCAGGGCAGACAAGGACAGGAACCTCACCCACAGGAACCCCATCCCACGGCAAACAAAAGAAGTGACCAGGGCAGGTGTGGTGATGGTGAGCAGGGTCAGCCAAGAGCCCAGTGATAGCCGTAATGAGGCAGGCCCAAGGACAAGCCAGGACATCAGGTCAGGATCAGCAGGTTAGGAGGCCGGGTAGCAGCGTACCTGTAGCTTAGCTCAGGCAAGGACCAAGGGCGAGGGCCTGAGCTGTCAGGATGCTCCTGGGCCTGCAGGCAGAGGGTACCTGAGATGAACTTCACATTTAGTTGGGTGCTACTGTTCCACCGGTCCAAGGGCTTTTTGGAGTCTGTGATGGCTCTTCAGTGGGAATAAGAGAGTACAGGTGGCGCAATACTCTGCGGTCTTTTCTTCCCCACAAACTGGTCAGCTCTGAATGGGCTCCCTGTATTCTGGTGTCTCAACCTCTTTCGCATGCAGCATAATATGTTAGAAAAGAACCCTTTCTTCTGCTGAATTGTGAGGGGAATTGAAAGATACTCAATTTTTGTCTGCTCTGTAATGCAAATGCTGTTCTGGTTATAATAGTATCCGGCCACACAATACTGTAGCTACATTGATACAAATCTTTCCACTCTAGTTCATTAATTTTCAGCCGTTGTCCATGTTTGTCATGCTTGTGGTCTGCCAGAATGAGTGTATAGTCCAGAAAACATGTTGTAGTATATGAAACTGTATTATGTCGATGAAAAAAGTGATAAGGGATAATACATTTATATCATAATTGCATATCCATGAGGAAGGTTAAAACTACATGTGTAATGTTCACTTTAATCTTGGATTATTTCTTCTAATGGGACTCACATAAATCATTATTTTAAGATTGTAATCTCTCTACTCCCATACCACTTCATCACACAGCCCAGCCTTTTTTGATGTTACAAGTACTTAGTGCTAGTTACTGGTGTTATGCAAATAGTGAATGGTGTTTGTGTGTAGTTTTATGTTTCCTCATAATCTGTTCTCTGTAATGTACATGTATTTTCAGTGAATATCAAGTATCTTTTCCCTTCTGCTTTCCCAGACATGACTTCAAGGTTATCATTTCACCTAAAGTATGCAACAGCCAAATGAGCTGTCAGCTGCATTGCTGCTGTGCACTGCCATCACCACAAGTGCAGTCATGTGAAAGGTTGCAGGGGCTGAGTTTTGAGCCTTGAATCTGTTGTGTTGGAGCTCATTGCGCAATGGCTTCATCAGTTCTGTCTCTTTTTGTGGTGCCCACCTTTACCTTGGTATATAGTAATATTTGGTGCTATTTTAGAAAGTCAGATACTGTTACAAAAAGGCCATGTTTGAGAAGGCTGTATTCAGATGAAAGCAGCGCATTGCAACTCACTATAATTGCTGCAGAGAGAAAGCAGCCATAGCTTTGCTTTAAATGTTGAGATGGACTATTGAATACAGTAATGTTGACAAAATTATGAAATGGTCATTATGAAAATTATTGGGTTTAGGTTTTCCTACAAGTTGGACAGTATTATTGGTCTTTTTAAATGGGAATTTTCTGTAATCACTTGCACTTCTATGGCAATTCCCTGCAGGGATAACTGCTGAAAACAACTGATATTACTATGTAGCCAGAGAAAAGAACGAATTATATAAGTAAAGACAGAACTTGATTCCAAGTTGCATAATGAATGGCCTGTTTTGATTTTTGTTCTCCCTCATCAGGACAGTTGCAAAGACTTATCCTCAGTCTCCTAAAAACGCCAAACAATATCCAGCTTCTCCTGTGAAGCATCGTGCTACTTCTAATCTCAACCAGGAAACTCCTAAAAAGAAAGCAGACAAGGAGAAAGAAAATGTCAGTCATCAAAAATCCTCGGGAGCACGCACTGATGAGGCAGGCCAGGTGACTTCTGAGAAGCATGTGCCTTCTGCAGGAAAGACTGAAAATAGTGAAGGTGAGTCTTACTTGTTGCGTCAAGAGAGGCTTTGGAAGGTACCCAATTTATCGTTATAAGTCTGGTCGCGTTCAGTGCACTGAACTATCACCATTACGGATTGACAAATAACGCAGGCACCTTTCGTCTAGTCGTGCTGCATGAACTATCACGGCCACACTTAAAGCATCTGGTCGCGTTCAATGACCACTATCATGGCTAGACCAATAAATCAAAGCAATTTATTAAAGCAACAGACCAGGTTCGTTGGATTACCGGTGATAAATTCACTGACTGCAAGGCACATGCAAATACCAAAGCTTTGGACAATACAGATGCATCAAAAGACATAAAAATGACTCTATAGAGGTTTCTAAGTTTCCCGGGGAGGCACTTGGTATAACCAAGTGTTAGATTCTTACCCAAAGGGGTCCCCATGGGGGGGAAGAGAGGCTCAGCCCGTCAACTGATCCCAGAGGTCAGAGTAGTACACGATGGTATCTTCCCTAACATCCCCTCTCTCTTTAGGCTAATTTATACTATTTTTTTACCTTTCAGGTGGAGCTTGAGGGACTCTAGTCATACATACTTTGTTATGATTGGTGTAAAGTTTTCTCGCTTCGTTTTAAAGATATAGGCTCAGAAAAATTCAGAGCGCAGGCTCAGTGAGGAGTGGTCTCACCTTGGAGGCGGGTAGATTTTGGGATGGAGGTGTGTTTTGGTATTATAATGACATTATAATGAGTAAAGGTTACTAAAGGACAGCATTTTGTCAACCTCATGATGGTTTGTTGCCTCCGGGTATCACTTATGCAGCTTATCAGTGCCATGGTGCCCCTCCAAGTTCCCTTATCACAGGGCTTGGCCGTGATGTCTCCACACTACTCCACCCCCTGGACAGTTCCTCTTAGAATCAGCACACCAGGCTCCCCTGGGTTGTGACATCCAAGATTACAGGCTTGGGGAACTTGCTGTGGAATCAATTCCAGCTGCATACCACCCGGATTGCTTCTTCAAATGCTGTGCCTTTCTTGAAATTGTAAATCTAAGTCTATTGTCCAAGTCACCTCCAGCAATTACTCCACATTACTGCAAGAATAAATTGGAAGGTATTGTGTGTCCGTGAGGCTTTTAAACAGTGATGAACTGTTCTTTTTATGAAGCTGCTCAGTCATGGGTTTATGAGAATGTGTAAAGATACATAATAGAACCAGTAAGTGTATAGTTTTCACCAGGGTTACCCATGTATGAAAAACACTTGTTAATGAGGATGTGAAAATGTTGAAATCCAGGGATGCCCTTACCTGTCCCATATTCTATCCACTGAAAACGCGGATGTATGCTTTGGAAAAGCAAAGGTGTCATACCAGTGTGAACCAGGCCCATTTTAGCCTTTGTTCAAGTGTGGAAGTGCTGGGCCCTCTCAGTTCCCTGCCTAACTTTCCACCCTTGGTCGTCTTCTCTCAGGAAAGATCACGGCAGGAACAACTGATGCAGAAGAAGCCTCAAAAATTCTAGCTGAAAAAAGACGACAGGCCCGTCTGCAAAAAGAACAAGAAGAAAGAGAGAGACAGGAAAGAGAAGAACGGGAGAGGTATCTGTTGATTTGTGAAAATTGTTACCTAATAATTTAACCTGTATCATTGAAGATGCTTGAAACTGTGGTGGTTTTAGAATCAAGGTGGGAGCTTACATGTAAGTGTTAATTTCTTTAAATCTGGACCCGCAATTCCATTAGTGTCTTTTGCAGTCTTTATGACTAGTGAAGTAAGAAAATAATAGTTTGGCCTCTTTAAGAAGCCTGAAGAAACTATTATTCATCCAGATACTTCAGGTATGTTCACACTGCAGTGGACATACCTGAAGTATTTTATTTTGTAAAAAAAAAAAAAAAAAAAAAAAGTGAGGCAGTTTTAGATGAGCTAGTTCATGTAGAAGAAACAGTCTTGCAGTAGTAGTATATGTCTGAAATGGCAAGGCTGGCATCCTTCAACAAATTAACCTGAAGCTACCTCCCTGCCCAACCCTATTGTAGGCAGTTGAGGGCTTTAACAAGTGTGGGCACAATGAAGGTTGCTGTGTCTAAGCAGTGAAATTCTGGCTCTGTTGAAGCTTTTAGATTGTTCTCCACATTGAATGCTGGTTGCAAGTGTCAACAAATCTTGCCCTTCCTTCAAGCCCCTAATATTAAATCACTAACTCTGCACGTCTAAATTCAACTTTGTCTGTTCTTACTGAAAACATGAGAGGGAGGGGAAATTTGGAAATACTTCCTGAATCCCTGATATGCAAGGATAAGAATGATCGCTTGTCAAAGCAAATCTTGAATGTGCTGACAGAGGAGCATGATGTCCCTGAGCGGGCCAGGGAACAGTGCAGGTGGAATTTAGACCCATTCTTTCTAGTGTGCCACTGTGTTTTGTCGACTTTGTTTGCTGCTACTTATCCAATCTGTTTATCTTCGACCAAAAGGAAGGAAAAAAGTACTTGCTTGTTTGTAGATACCAGCATTCTGGGCGTGGAGTACAGGGGAAGAGGGATGTTTTTATTATTTAAGCTCTAATTGAAATTAGAATGGAAATGTTTTCTTTTCTTTGATGACACCTTTTCTTCCAAGGGAAATTATAATTTGTAGGAAACTTTTAGGCAGTGAAAATAAGATTGGAATAAAAGTTTGATAGCAACTTGAATTCTGGGCATGTGCTCAACCTCTTTGCTGTATCTTTGCGTTTTTCATGAAAATGTGTGCTGATGCACGTATTATCAGTTACTGCTGATTGTGTGCCATACATACAGTAGAATTCATGCTAAACAAAATGAAACCTTTTAAACATACTGTTGTATTTTTTTGCAGGCTTGAAAGAGAAGAACAGAAAAGAAAGGCAGAAGAAGAAAGACTTCGTCTAGAGGAAGAGGCTCGTAAGAAGGAGGAGGAAAGAAAATGTGAAGAAGAAGCAGCTAGAAAAAAGGCAGAAGAGGAAGCCAGGAGAAGAGCTGAGGAAGAGCAAATGCTAAAAGAAAAGCAAGAGAAAGAGCTCCAAGCCAAACTTGAGAAACAGGTACCATCTCAAACAGAAATGTGAAACTCTATATACATATATATACACACATATATTTATATATACATATAAATAAATACTTTATAGTATCTGATAATCTGCCTGAAATAATGGCCCTATTTTACACATTTTGATTAGAGGGAAGAAGCAGAAATCAAAGCCCGTGAGGCAGCTGAACAACTTCGTCTTGAAAGGGAACAAATCATGCAGCAAATTGAGCAAGAAAGACTGGAGCGGAAGAAGGTAGATATTTGTGTCTCATTTAAGATAATTATTTCATTTCTTGTTTAAATACATAACCCAGGAAGTACCCAATAGTATCTAGAAATAATAATCTGGAGGGATTACAAATTGATACTTATGCATAACTTAGTATTTGCTACTTGCATGTTAGGGGAAAGTAGACATAAAAATTTGTAACAAAGTAGAATTGGCTAAGGCAAACAACTTTCTGCTAGGCACTGAACAAACACAGAATTAGCCTCTACTCACAAAGTTAAATGCCTGAGACAAACAGGGAATGGCATGCCAAGGCAAACATTGATTGGCGCCCAACCCAGGACATCACAGGCTATTGAGGAACATGAGTGACTTTGTTTTAAAACTTACTCAACAGAAGCTCCATGTCATTAACTGAGAAAGTTAATGTGATTAACAAACAGGTTTTCTCCCACCTGGCTTGTCTCTGGTTGCATTACACAGAGGCAGCAGGGTTGTCTGGCCACTACCGCACAAGGAAATGGCTGGAGCTGCATAACTTAGCTTTATCTACAGCTTTGTGGCAGGAAAGAGAGAACAACTGCAGAGCTGCAGAACCCCTGTCTCGTTATAAAAGGTCAACTTTCCATATACGTTGTTCCAATATGTTATTTTTAACTGTTTACCACTGAGCTGAAAGCATGTTGTGGTTGCAGATTAGAATACTAAACCAAAGTGTCTTTAAATCTGAAACAGTTTCCTTTCACACAGTAGTGCAAAGAGACAAGGTTTGTTGTGGTTTGTTTTTTTTTTTTTAAATGAACAAAGAAGGGGGCAGGGGGAAGTATTTTAGGGTCATGCCTTATACGTTTCCAGCAAGAATAACTTCAGATATTCCATTTTACTCTTTCATTCAAAAAAGCCTTAACTATTTTTAAAGGAACAACTTGGAAATAGTTGGAAAAGCAACTAGATGAAAATAGTATCTGTTGGTTTTAAATAAATGTCTTGTTCCAGAGCTGAGCACAAGTCCTGACTGCAAACACCTGGTATTAAAATCTTTGTCTCTAAATTGCATCTACTGAGAAAGTCATGTTCTGGAGACTGATATGTGAAAGCCAGCTCCCAGGTGTTTTCTATCTTTTGTTTACTTTATTTTTTCTTATTTATTCTCCCTTTTTCAACACAGGCAGGGTCATGACAGTAGAGAAAAGGTTTTCTTGTTGTCTTTTTTCTCCTTTGTCAGTCTCTTGTGCTAAATACTCTGTCTGCCTTCTCATCCTCTGATTTATTTTGATTTCTAGAGAATAGATGAAATAATGAAGAGAACAAGGAGGAGTGAAGCACCAGAAATAAAGGTATGAAACAGTGTGTGGTTGCAGGGTGTTTCTGTTTTGTTTTATAACCCGTACATGAAAACTAATCTCTAGAGTAGTTCCATGTTAGTAGGTATACTTAGGTACACTCTACACCCAAATTTGAGTTGCATTTGAACGGAGAATGACTGTTGCTATGTCACCGTGATTGTTGTGCCACTGCTACAGAGACACAGTTTTATGCAACTATTGCAGACTTAACCTCCTTCACGATCTAGCAAGGTGGCAAGAGCCCATTCCTGCATGCTGGAGCTGTAATGTTTGCTGCTGTGATGTACCTTCTCCTGCTTTGTACCAGCCAGTGGATTAGTTACTAAGCTCTTCGTGTTAAGCCTGCCAGGAATGTAGGGTTGAGAACAAGGCAATTGTGTCCAGCTAGGAAGTGACAGAGTCAAGTTTTCTCTTCTACGCTAACTTTTCTACTAAGGAAACTGTTTCTTCAGTCACTTTCAGAGAATGTTTTCTTTTTGAAGTAAAAGAAAAAATAAAGCCTATGCCTAATTAAAAAGGAAAAAAAAAAAAATCCTCTCTTGCTGTCAATGACCTTTGACCACCCCTTGGCCCTGGGCAGTCTCACAAGTTTCGAGTCCAATCAGTTCCATGAAGGTTACAGTCCTTCGTCTAATGCAGTTGACTTATTACTTGATTACAGAAGGAAGAGCCAAAACTGGAGGTACCATCAACTTTGAGCGTGGAAAAGCAACCAAAGGACCTTGTTCTCAACCAGCCAGGTAAAAATCACCATATTTTTCTGACCTGTTTTCAGTTAGTTCTTTTCAGAATTTTGTTATCTCGGACAGAGCAGTATGTATTATTGCAGGTTCTTTGCTTCCATCTCTACAGCTACATTTGCATCAGTGACAAATGTTAGAAACTGGAGACGCAGCTTTGTTTTGCCATATAAGCAGAAGCAGAAGAAGGTTTCTCCTCCATTTTAGTACCTGATGTAGCATTTCTGTAAATGACAAGTTTCAGTCTGCCAAATAGGTTTGGTTGCTGCAATCTACCTTCAAATTTTGTAGGTAGAAAATCTTTGCACACAACCAAGCTTGCAAGCCTTTTATAGCATTGCTCTAAATCTTACATTTAATTTGACTTGATGAAAAAAACATAAGTATTTAAAGAATTATTACAGAAAATATATGTATCTGGCATTTATCTATATTTTGTTTACTTCCCCAGGCTAAGGCTTTTAATACATGACATAAAAGATAATACATTCTCTTCCTGTTTCCTCAAATTTAAAAGATGTAGCATAGAGAGCAATTTCAGAGTGGAAAAGAGGATTGACAGTATAGTATGATGAGTCATAGATGAAACAGTCCTACTGCATTGTCAGTCTTCCTTTCTACTCAATCTGTAACTTAAAAGCATTTGTGATATTTTTTTTTTTTAAAAAAAAAAACCTATTTAAATAAAGAAGTTGCTACCGTCATAATTTCTAACCTTCTTTTATAGAGATCAATGGATTGGCAACCTGCCTGAAAAATAAAAGCTTAGAAAGTGCTGCCTCTGTAATCCCTTCCCAAGATGTAGTTGCTAATGGACTAAAGTCAGTTCCAGGACTTATTCAGCTGGAAGCTGTTGATGGGAAGTCTAACAGCATGGAAGATTCAACAGATGAGGTTCAGTCCATGGATGTGAGGTACAGACCGTATCTACCAATAGAAATTGCGGAATTCATATTAGACACACACATAGTTTTCAGTTTCTTTTTGTTACTACTTTACTTCTCACCTACCCCACAATGTGGCAGTTGGGTGTATGCCACTCCTGTCAAGATGCAAATTGGCTGTTTCAGGCAAGAGTCAACAGAACCTCATCTCACTCTCACATGTTTGGTGGGGTGGAGGGGGAGAGCTCTGAAATCCTTCTACAGTCCTTAATTATGGATTCCATACCAGTTTGCCCAAACCTTTCGGATTGTTCTGTGAAAGTAGCTGCTGCAGATATTGTCACATGTCACCATTTTTTTAATGTGTGTCAAGACTGCATAGCTATGATGCATGAGCTTTTCTCCCTCCATACAAACGAATAAAGAAAATAATTAATTTAGAATTTTAAGTACTTAACCAGAACAAATGCATGGAAATTGGTAAATAACTTTGTGTGTATTTAATACTGTTGGATTTTGATGGAAGGACTTGCAGGAAAGAAGGAAGTTGATCATTGAAGGCTGCTATGAGAAAGCTAGCTCTGAATTTTAAACATGGAGTTTTTATACGGTGCTTCCTTAATCAGCAAGCCAACTTAACCTCTCATACTGTTTCAGTATTTCCAGTAAATCTGCATAAATACATAAGAAATGCCCTACTGGGATGGACCAGAAGTTCATCTAGCCCATTATTTGGTCTCAGTATCAGTAAGACAAACTAGTTCGGGAGACCACTTCAGCCCACTACTTTCTGCAATCCAAGACCACACAGAAGTGTTGCATTAGGGACACTAGAGGGTACAACCCTGCCTTGTCCTTTGAAATATCCACTGACGAACCTGTTGCCCATGAGTTTATCCAGTTCCTTTTTCAACCTGCTGATGTTTGCATCCAGGACCTTATCTGGCAGCAAGTTCCACAGTACAGTCTCACTAGGTAAATTAATTCTTTGATCTGTGTTAAACCCAGTCTTACTAGTGTCACTGGGCACCCCCTAGGTTTTGTGTTGCAGGATTTGATGCACACTAATTTTACATTCAACTTAGCCACAACTCCTTCATGGATGTAGAAATCTTTGCAAAATCCTTCCGCTGCCTTCTCTTCTCCAAACTGAAATGCACTAGCCATACTAGTCTTGGCAAAGCGTCAGCTGGTAGCAGCACTTCTTAAATTAAACCCCAGGATCTTTAATGTGTGAAGTATATCATAAGGTCGTAAGTGTCGTGGTTTAACCCCAGTTGGCAACTAAGCACCACGCAGCTGCTCGCTCACCCTCCCCCCTCCAGTGGGATGGGGGAGAGCATTGGGGGAAAAACCGTAAAATCTGTAGGTTGAGATAAAGGCAGTTGAATAGGACAGCAGAGGAAGAGAAAGTAATAATAATGATAAAAGAATATATAAAACAAGTGATGCACAATGCAATTGCTCACCACCTGCCAACCAATGCCCAGCCAGTTCCTGAGCAGCCATCGCTGCCCCCCGGCCAACTCCCCCCAGTTTCTATACTGAGCACGATGCCATATGGTATGGAATAGCCCTTTGGGCAGTTTGGGTCAGCTGTCCTGGCTGTGCCCCCTCCCAGCTTCTTGTGCACCTGGCAGAGCATGGGAAGCTGAAAAGTCCTTGACTAGTGTAAGCAGTACTTAGCAACAACTAAACCCATCAATGTGTTATCAGCATTATTCTCATCCTAAATCCAAAACACAGCACTATGCCAGCTACTAGGAAGAAAATTAACACTATCCCAGCTGAAACCAGGACATAGGAACTAAATTTTTATTTAAGTTGTGAAGTGTGAGTGCTTTAGGTAAGCGTTTGCAGGGTGAGGACAATAATTTGCGAGATGAAGTAACCATTTAAGTAAGGGAATGGTGCAGGGACTAAAATAATGAGTTAGCACTAAACTACCAGAAATGTGTTTTTAGGAGATGAGTGTTCACATCACACAGCTACCACAAACCGTAATTTTTAAGGAATACAGATCAAGAATGACCTTTCATCCTGAACAGGGTAACCTCTGTTTGTTTGGATTGGGACATATTCTAGGTAAAGGCTTGCTGCAGCTGGCCTTAAGATAAGTAGTAGCTTTTGGACAGTCAGAAGATGAATTTGGTCGTTGCTTAATGAAAATTTACACACCTCTTATCTGCATCTTCCTTTTGTTTATCTTTTGTATAGCCCAGTTTCAAAAGAAGAACTTATCTCTATCCCCGAATATTCACCCATGAATGAACTCATGCCTGGTGTTTCTTTGGACCAAAATGGGACAAGTAATGCCAAGGCTCTTGAAGATCTCTTGGATTTCACAGGCCAAGCTACATACTCCAAGATGTCCAGTGATACCATTAGCCTAGATGACTGTAACAAAAACTTGATTGAGGGATTTAACAGTCCAGGACAGGAAAATACACTTAATTCTATCTGTTGACAACCTCGCTTTTCCGCAGAACAGATAAAGGTACAGTACTGTGATAGACATATTAGATATGATAAATTGCTGTGATTACTTACAAGTTTCCCAGAAAAATAATAGCAGTTGTAAACAGTATATGTGGGGAGAGGAAGAAAGCTGGTCTCCTAGATATTTAAATTCAGCATAATCTCTCATATTTGCAGCGATTTGTAAATTGGCATCATCTGCAAACTGAGCATATCACAGCAACCAAAAGTATCGGGTAAATGGAAACATGTCCTTTATCTATTCAGAATATAGCTAATTGCTTTTGTCCTTCATTACTACAGTACCTTTCCTATAGGTCTTTAGAGCCTATTTTTATGAAGAAAACAGTTAAAAGTGCAGCCAGCCTAGAAAATGGTAGTTATTGTTGCTGCTCACTCTTTGCTGCTGCTGTAAATAACTTGCAGCACGGTGTAGAATTGCTTATCCTGAAAAGCCTGCAAACAATATGAAAAAAGCATAGTAGGCTTCAGTGGCAGTTTCAAAGTACAGTGCCACAGTCAATTTTTTTAAGAGTGTATTGTAAATTAAAAAACTGAGGTCATCTGACTTGCATAGCTGACTTGATATTCTTCTCTCTCTTTTTTTAATTGACAGAGATAGCAATTTGTGGAGGATATATATCCCTGTGATGCTACTGGCAGTAAAATATGAGCCTGTCACTCGAAAAAGCTTCTGCAGTCCTTGAACACTGGATTTCAAATAATCAGAGCTGAATATAACTTTGTCTTCCCAGGGAATATGTTGAATAACAGGCTGCTTTTGGTAGAAACCAATGAACTAGAGCCTTGATGGTTTCAGGGAAGACTGAGGGTGCATTAGAATTTGAGCTTTAGCTGCTAATAAAGCACTATTTCTTCTTTTAATTTAAAATTCATCTCAACACTTCACTGTGATTTTTACTTGTGCATTTTATTTTGAAATAATCCTTCTTTAAGCTTTATCGTACATCCATTTAGACATCTCTTTCTTGTAAATAATGATGAAGTTTGCCCACGGTGCATTGAAATGAAATAATATACTGTACTTTAGTTTTGTGCCTATCTTTTTTGTCTTTAGTAAGGAGTTATTGGCAACTTTTATGCAGGTGTATAATTCAAAACTATAGCTGAAGAGGCTTAAAAAAATATACAGCTGCTGGAATCAAAAGAGCCTTCTTACTGACTGTGGAGTGTGGGAGCTATCCCATTATGGTTATGTTGACACTTTTAGTCACTAGTGGCACTTACTGGTTAATGCTAATGAGTCCGGGAGCGACTATCAACTATGTGTTTAAAAACATACTTGTGTGACACCTGTAAACAAAGTAGGCAAAATGCCTAGTGTTATCCTTTTATATATATATATATATATAGTATAGCTGTAGTAGATCCACATGAGTGGTCCGGGGGGGTGAGATAACATGTTAATCTTTGAAGATGCAGACACTTGATTAATACCAGCAGGCTTTCTATCATGTGAGACATATTTTGTCTTCCTATAGGCTCAACAAAGCAAGACTTAGTCAGCAGCAAAACAATACACGAATGTTGCAGCAGAAATAGAAAGGCTGAGACACACACGGGGAACGCTGCTAGCCCCCTTAACATTCTGTAAGCATCTGTATGGAAAAATTCACATCAAGACGTATAATGTCTAGACATTATGTGCCATACAGTGTTAACTTTCTTTCTGTTGGTGAACTGTAATAACTTTATGCTAGATCATGTGCTGCTTTGAGGACACTTTTGTCCAGTTCCTTATAAGAATAAATTATAACTACAACTCTCTTTGGACACTAACACAAAAGAAGTGAAAACTTGGGGGTGGTGGGGTTTTTTGCTTTTTTGTTGGGTTTTTTTTTTCACGTTAAGGGAGTTCACAGCGTAGCTTGAGCTCAGTTGTAGCCCCGTTCTTGTGCTCTTTAAAGGCAGCAACGGGAAAGTAACCAATGACATTATGTGCGATGTATAAAGAAATCATACCTACAACAGTCCAGCTCTATTTATGTTAGTGTACTTCAGAGAAATACTTTCTTTTGACTGTGCAGTAAGCTGTAGCATGGTACTGTGTCTTCCAAATTAGTCCTTCATCTATTTCCTAAATAATAAACAAACCCAGTTTGTTTTGCTGTGATACATTGTGTTTGACAAATGTCACATTATATTTTATTATGGTGTCATTGTATAACCTGTAGATTTCTGTATTTGCATGACCTGTATAGCATGTATAAAGGTGAAATACATTTTCATTTATGAATCTGACTTGTTTCTTAGCTTTTTTTACTCCCAGCAAAAAAATGACTAATTTAAAAATGCATGCATGTTAATTTGTTCTGAGGTGTTTTCTGACGGAGGGTGTAATACTGAATGAAGGAGTGGTTGTCAGAGCCTCAAAATATTTCACCGTTGTTTCCTTTGCCATATACTAATTGGCTTTCTGAGGTCTTGCCAATACACAGAGGAAATGCAGACTGGTGGCAGAAGAGCCTTAAGGTGAGGGCTTCCAAACTGTGGCATCCAGGGTGCCAGTGACAGTCTACAGGCCAGTTTGCAGCCCCAGCTAATGCTCTCTGGGGTATTATTCGGCAAAGAAAACTTGGGAACCATAGCCGGTAGACGCTGTTCTGTTGAGGGTGCAGGAGCTGTTCTGTAAGGGTACCCGTAACATAAAGCCGAACTTCTCTTCAAGCTACATGTGTGTACTGCTGCTTAGAAAGAGGCCAGCCTAGAGCTGCTGTTTGTTTTCTAGTGAAACGCTGGAGGGAAATGTTCTACAATTTTTATTTTTTTTTTTTTTAAATCATAATTTCAGTCAAATTAAAAATGAGAGAATCTGCTTTTATTATGAAGTATATGAACACTGTCCTTGGTGACAGTTCATCTCACTCTTATTAACCCTTGAATCATTCATGCAATTTGTCCACTCAATTATTTACTAAGCTTAAAAGAAGCATGGTAAGTGAGTATTCATGAAGAAAGATACTGCATATTTTCTTTTATATTTGCTTTCAAATGTAACTTTACAAATTTGGCTGAATATCTGGAGCAAGTACTGTTAGCTGAGGGGTTAGATTGCTTCTACTTTTTGCTTTTGATGATGTAATTTCTTCATACTGAATACCATACCAGTGTTTGCTGCTGTGATTCAAGTCTGCACAATGAGCTTTACTTTTTATTTGTCAGTGGTCTTGAAACTTCAGTGAAGGATCACCAGTGATTCACACAAGTCCTTGGTAGAGCTTTTCTGCTGTAAAGCACTTGAGAATCAAGCTGTGAAAAGAAGCAAGAAAAAAGTGTAGAGCAGTGATCCTTGAACGGATTTTTATAACTGGATTTATAAATGGATGAATGGATTTTTTTTTTAGATGACTTTCTTTAAAGTGATCTGCAAAACAGGATTGTACACACCAAGAAGAATCAGATGCTGCTACTGTCCTTTCCCAGATTTATTTTCAATAACTAGTTATAACTATTAGTAAGTTTCTAATACATAAATAAATAATATTTGTGAGGTGATTTGGTATCACAGTGGCTTTCCGGTTTGGTTCAGCACTTTCTGTGGTGTTGCCTTGGGAAAAGACACCCAAATCTTGTCTCAGGCCTGGGCGAAGACCCCCAGCAGAGACCTCCTGGCTCCCCAGGGAGTGAATTTCAAAACAAAACGGCATCAGTGAGGGGTGGATCTGGACCCCCAGGCTGCAATTACATCTGGTGAGGAAGGGCTAGAATCGTAGAATTGTTTAGGTTGGAAAAGACCTTTAAGATCATCCAGTCCAACCATTAACCTACACTACCAAGTCCACACTAAACCAATCAAGGGTAGACTAGACTAAACCATGTCCCAAAGTGCCACGTCTACCCGTTTTTTGAACACCTCCAGGGATGGTGACTCCACCACCTCTCCGGGCAGCCTGTTCCAATGCTTGACCACCCTTTCTGTGAAGAAATTTTTCCTAATATCCAACCTAAACCTCCCCTGGTGCAGCCTAAGCCCATTTCCTCTCATCCTATTGCTAACTACATGGGAGAAGAGACCAACACCCACCTCACTACAACCTCTTTTCAGGTAGTTGTAGAGAGCGATAAGGTCTCCCCTCAGCCTCCTCTTCTCCAGGCTAAACAACCCCAGTTCCCTCAGCCGCTCCTCACAAGACCTGTGCTCCAGACCCTTCACCAGCTTCGTTGCCCTTCTCTGGACACGCTCCAGCACCTCAGGGTCTTTCTTGTAGTGAGGGGTCCAAAACTGGACACAGTATTCCAGGTGCAGCCTCACCAGCGCCGAGTACAGGGGAACAATCACCTCCCTGCTCCTGCTGGCCACACTATTCCTGATACAAGCCAGGATGCTGTTGGCCTTCTTGGCCACCTGGGCACACTGCTGGCTCATGTTCAGAAGAAGGGGAACAACAGAAGGGGAGGAAATCATCCTCTCTCCTGTAATTGTACAAATCATACGTGCAGAGGAAGCAAGAGAGAGAGCACACACAGCTGCTTCAGCTGGCAGGGTGGGGATCTCCCCTCCGCCACCTCTCACGCAGAGAGCAGCACCTCTCCCTGCTTCCCAGCCCACCACCCTCCCAGCCTCACCAGCATATGCAGCTTGTATACAGCTTCTATACGCTCTATACACCACCACCCCCCTTGTATTTCAGGCATCGGCCATGTGGCACTGCAGCTCTCCTACTGCTCTGCCGCCCCACGTGCCCGAGGTAGCGCGGTGGCCTTCACCCCGAGGAGCCCGGGGTCCCGGGACACCTCTGGGGCTACAGCGCTGCAAGGCAGCCTGGAAACCCTAGCAGAAGACACCCTTCCCATAAAGGTTTAAACTGTGGTCCCTTCTGTGTGTTCAAATGTGAATAGTTTAATATTCAAGAGCTGAAGACTATTTACTTTGTGAGGTCTATTTTTCGTTCGCTCTAAGCCATGGCCCGTATCCTGTACCAGAGGGAGACTGTCCTGTAAGCGGCACCAACAAATCCGTGGGGATACGCTGCTCCTTCTCCTGCTTTATTAGTGACCTGTGAGACTTCTTCCTTGCTCCTCCCCTCTCCCTCCCTATGCAAGAACCCTGTAGAGACTGAAAAACTCTCTTTGTTTGCTCCTATTTTAGAACAATATTGTTGAAGCGGTTGGTTGCCTCCAAAATCAACGTGGAGAGTGGTTGTTCACCTATGCTGCGTGTGTGTGCATGTGCGCACATGCAAATATATATAAATGGCAGTTACCCGACATTTGGGGATGTTGGTTTTCAATATCAATATTAAATTCTGAAAAAATTATTACTGCTGGGCCACTATGCTAAAATATTGGAAATATAATGTATATTATGACTGAATGGAATTTTCTCTGGATTTTCTTTTTGATCTTAAGAAAAACAGGTTTTAAATTCATTCAGTCCCTCCAGAACATACACACTTAAAAAGAATAGAAACCTTAATATATTCAGATATGTTTTTGTTATTGCTGTTAGTGGCAATAATACCAGTCCGGAACGCCAGGAGCCATGATGTTTGTCTCTTCCCCGCCTTTTTTAATCCCATTATTTATCTTACCTGTCTTATCCTTATGATCTCCTAGAGCTGAAGAGCAGGTGAAGCTATTCACTCAGTTGGCCAGCTTAACTTGTCTGTTGAAGCAACACGTTAAGTGTAAAAGCCCTTAAAATTGGAGGCAGAAACACTAAGATGTTTAAGCTTTTAAAATAATTACGTAAAGTATAAGAAAATGGTTTCTTGACCACCACAGTAATTCTTGACACTTGTTTTTTTCTCAGTTGCCTTGTTTGTTCTCCAGCTTGTAGTAGTGAAGTATAACAATACGTTTTTTAGTATTTCTAATGATTCAAGACTGAGGTAGTAATGTTTCTAAACTAGTGGGTTCGATGATTACCTGAGGCGTGCAGTTTTCAGGATCAAAATAAACGCTCTGGAAACTAGTGTGTGATTTTCACTTGGGAGCTTTACAAAAATAGATGTGTATCCCTGCTGAAATCAAGCCTTAAGGATTTCCAGAGAAAAAACAACTGTGATGCAGGAGAGATTCAATGAATAGAAGGAAATGGTAAGCAATGTGCTACGTGATCTACAAAGTCCTTGCTCTAAGAGTAAGTTTTTAAAATAGTTGCATGAATAGCTCAAACCCGAAG